CTATTCTATTCTATTCTATTCTATTCTATTCTATTCTATTCTATTCTATGCTACTCTACCCTACTCTACTCTATTCTATTCTATGCTACTCTACTCTACTCTACTCTATTCTACTCTACGCTACGCTACGCTACGCTACGCTACTCTATTCTATTCTATTCTATGCTACTCTACTCTACTCTACTCTACTCTACTCTACGCTACGCTACGCTACGCTACGCTACGCTACGCTACTCTATTCTACTCTATGCTACTCTACTCTACTCTACTCTATTCTACTCTACTCTACGCTACGCTACGCTACTCTACTCTACGCTACGCTACGCTACGCTACTCTACTCTATTCTATTCTACACTACGCTAGGCTACTCTACTCTACTCCACTCTATTCTATTCTACGCTACTCTACTCTACTCTACTCTATTCTATTCTATTCTATTCTATTCTATTCTATTCTATTCTATGCTACGCTACGCTACGCTACGCTACTCTACTCTACTCTATTCTACTCTACGCTACTCTACTCTACTCTATTCTATTCTACTCTACGCTACTCTACTCTACGCTACGCTACTCTACTCTACTCTACTCTACTCTATTCTATTATATTCTATTCTACGCTACGCTACACTACTCTACTCTACTCTACGCTACTCTACTCTACGCTACTCTACTCTACGCTACTCTACTCTACTCTACTCTACTCTACTCTATATGGTTTGGTTAAAATTGGAAGGAGTCAGTGGTGAATCTCATATATTTCCTTAACCTAAACAATATTTGAGTACAAAAACAGTGTCCAACATGATGTAGTGTAGTATAAATCCCAGGAGATGTTACCACAGATAAGAAGAAAGGGGATTTAGGAGAGGAGTGGGAATTGGAGAATTAATTGGAGAATTGAGTGTAGGAAATTCTCGACTTATGACCATCGTGGAGCCCTTTACTAAACAAGACAGTTGTTAAATTGTGCCCCATGTTACGGCCTTTTTTGGCCACAGCTGTTAAATGAATGACTGCAATTGTTAAATGAATTGTGTGGTTGTTAAATGAATTTGGCTTCCCCCATTGATTTTGCTTGTCGGAAACCAACTGGGAAGGTTATAAATGATGATCCTGGGACAGTGCAACTATCAGAACTACAGGCCAGTTGCCAAGCACCCAAATTTTTATCACGTGACCATGGGGGATGCTGCAACAGTCGTAAATGTGAAAAATGGTGATAAGTTACTTTTTTCAATGCTGTTGTAAGTTTGAACAGTCACTAAATGAATCATTGTAAGTCAAGGACTAGCAGCACAATAGCTCAAAACTGTATGTATAAAAGAGTCAAAGCTGCTTTTTCAAGAGGCAACTGGACTTCCTGGTTTTTCTTTGAAGATGTTTTGCTTCTCATCCAAGAAGCTTCTTCAGCTCTGAGCTGAAGAAGTTTCTTGGACGAGAAGCAAAACATCTTCTAATCAAAGAAAAACCAGGAAGTCCAGTTGCCTCTTGAAAAAGCAGCTTTGGGTCAACCATGATCTCAATGACTGTGAATCTCCATAGACATTTAGCTATGCACTTTAGTATGTATAAAAAGGTTTTACAGCTTATTTTGGTATCTGTGTTAAAGACCTTCAAGGACACAAATCCAGGAACCCAAAATGATATCTGTTTCAAAGTCTAGTATGTGTGGCAATGCCCATGCATATGTTTAGCATGATTTTAAACTAAACATGTTGTGTAAACTCCTCTCAGATCAAATTACTTGGTTTTCATTCTGAGAGAGCATAAAACAAGACAACAATTACCCCGCTTCAACTAAATTTACTCTGCCTCCTTCTCTTTGGACTATTACCTCCAATTTTTTGGCCTCTTATAAGCTTATTTCACATTTGTATGACTCTATTAATATATTTTGCTTCCAAATCAGTCTCAAAGGATTCGTATCCAGTCAGGTATGAAACAAATCACTGTTGCTTTTTTTTAATCAAACCTAGTTTGTTTCCTGACAGTGAGAACAATTAACCAGTGGATGTCTTGCCTTCAGAAGTTGTGGGTGCTTCAACACTGGAGCTTTTCAAGAAGAGACCGGATGGCCTTTTGTCTGAAATGGTATAGAGTCTCCTGCTTTAGCAGGGGGTTGGACTAGAAGACCTCCAAGTTCCCTTCCAACTCTGTTATTCTGTTACTTCCTTTTTAGTGGAAAAGACTACAGAACAACTGGAATCTTCGGGGGAGGAGATTTTGCTGCCCTTGACCACAATGCCATCTGTCATTCACTCCACCGTTCTTCCAAGAGATGATATTTTAGAGCCTACAGATCAGTTGACTTTATTGCCAGCAGATACCTCCACTGGCCCTTCCACTGACATAAACCAATTTTTGGAAGCCACAAGCTCCATGTGGGCAACCTCAGATGGTTTTGAAATGGGAGTGCAGGACCTTGCCACTGAGTTAGTTATCACTGACATGATGGCCCCAGTGACAGTGGAGGAGGAGGAGGAGGAGGAGGGAAGTGGCTACCATACATTGCCAGAAACCCCAGGTATGACTCCAGCTCCTTCCCTGAAGTATATAACCACAAGCTCCATGACAGCTGCAATCCAAGGCCAAGAGCTGGTGGTATTCTTCAGCTTGAGGGTGACCAACATGCGCTTTTCCAATGACCTCTTCAATCAGAGTTCCACTGAGTACAAAGCACTTGAACAACAGTTCGTACAGCTGGTAGGTGACAAAGGATGGTATTGAATTTGTGGATAATCCCCCACCCCCACACCTAAGAGAAATCTTAGAACATTATGCCTCGCATTAAAATCAGAAAGAACAAATAAAAACAAATTGAATTGATGGTGGGGGAATGCTTTCAGAAGAAAGTTAGGATTCCTTCTCCTAACAGTCTCAACCTTCATTATTATTTCCTCAATTCTATGTACTGCTCCTAAAAGAAAAGTCCTCATCAAGTTCACCTTGGCTCCTAATGACAACATGGATATGTTCCTGTTTTCTTGGCTACAGCAGTGGTTAATCATAGCTACTTGTTTACTAGCCCTTTCTTCTTTCCATTTTTCCTTCTTTCCTTTTTTCCTTCTTTCCTTCTTTCTTTCTTTCTTTCTTTCTTCCTTTCAGGAAGGAAGAAAAGAAGGTAAGCAGGTAGGCAGACAAGAAGGAAGAAAAGAAAGAAGGAAGGAAGGAAGGAAGGAAGGAAGGAAGGAAGGAAGGAAGGAAGGAAGGAAGGAAGGAAGGAAGGAAAGAAAGAAAAAGGGGTTGACCTGAACCAAGGATTTTATTATAGTGGTGAGGAATGCAGCATTGGAGGCTTGAAGGACAAGGCTGGGAACCATGTTATCATAGAGAAGATCTGTCTATGTAATCCAGGAATGTCCAACCTTGGCAACTTTAAGACTTGTGAACTTCAACTTCCAGAATTCCCTGGTCAGCATGGTTGGCTAGGGAATTCTGGGAGTTGAAGTCCACAGTTGCCAAGGTTAGACACCAAAGAAGGAAGGAAGGAAGGAAGGAAGGAAGGAAGGAAGGAAGGAAGGAAAGAAGGAAAGAAGGAAAGAAGGAAAGAAGGAAAGAAGGAAACTGGATTTGTTTAAAGCCCTGGGATTGCCTTATGTTTTTTTTCCTGCCACTATTAACTTGCTCAGATTTTTAAGATTTTTTTAATGCTTATTTTGGGATGCATTTTTCAGTTTCTTGGATCCCTACTGTTTACAGCCAATTTTATTTCTAGTTCTGATGCCAAAATGAACTAGGAAGGGAGAAAAGTTGGAAAGTGATGAATGTATTGCTTTTTTGAAGTGTGAGAATACAAGTTAATGGAAAGAAATGTGTGTTTGAGGTTGTAATATTTATTTTGACCTGAAAATAGGAACAGTTGTATTGGTTTTACTGTACTTCAATCCCATGAAAGTACAAAAATTTCAAACAGCATAATAATTTACAGATGATTATTAATTTAGTCCTTTGTCAAAATATATCCTTCATGTTATATTCTAATGCAAATAAGAGTCTAGGTGAAATTGAATGTTCATTATCTCATTGCCCTGAAAGTACACTTGAACAATATTTTGTATAATATAGAAACTCAAGTAACCATTGTGGAATGACAAGCAGAATTACATAAAAATGTAAGAATTATCCTTTTAGATCGAAGTCCCATTTAGTCCAATATTTTGCTGCTTATAGGCTTCACAAACCTAGGGCTCATTCTTTCTACTTGCATAACCTATTGTGGGAAAAATCCCTATGAAATTAAAGGAAGAACTCTTACAACTGTAATTTATATTTAAGTTGACTTAAATGTCATCGATTTCTTTTTAACTGTACTGCATTCTGTGAATGAAATTTGCAAAAACAAAAGAGCACTCTAGCTGTCTTGCTTTATTGTTTTAAATTTAAAAGATCTATCATGAGAGCTGCCATTGAAAGGCTAATTCAGAAATTTGACTTGGTATTAGATGTAAAATCAGCTAATAGCATCAGTAAAACAGAGTAAAATTGTATTTCTCAAAATAAATAATGAGTGCATGTGACATTAATAGCATAATTTTCTTTCATTTTTCAGCTCGTTCCCTATCTACAATCCAATCTTACAGGATTTAAGCAGTTGGAAATACTGAATTTCCGCAATGGAAGTGTGATTGTAAATAGCAAAATGAAGTTTGTGGAGTCAGTGCCATACAACATCACAGAGGCTGTTCACTGTGTGTTGGAAGATTTCTGCAATGCAGCTGCTCGGCGTCTTAACTTAGAAATTGACAGCTCTTCTCTTGAAATAGAGCCAGGTAATATAAAAAGTGAAACAGAAAACAGGAGAATATTGCTTTCCTCTACATTGTTCTTCATGGATAAATAAATAGATAAATATCTAGTAAAACTACATGGAATGCAGTATATTTTGAGGAAGCTTGTAAAATAATATGATGACAAAGAGAAACTTTATTGCTGGTGGAGTTATTCAGTTTTTGATGTTTTCTCCATTGTCTGGTTAGATATCTGATTAGAAAATATTTGGGGAAACTGTAGTTTCCAAAAACCTATCTAAGAACTACCTTCAAAAACTTCCGTTTTCTTGTGCTGTAATAGAAACAACACCGGTTGTTTCTCAACACTTATGTTACTATATCCCAATCTGTACTGTTTTCAGCTGTTTTGTTCTATAGGATCCTGTCTTTGATAGTAAGTGAGTCTTAACAAGCTTTTTCTCAGGCTTATAGCACTGAGAAACTTTTATTTATTCATTTTATTTATTTGTTTATTCATTCATTTCTTCAAATCAAACCAGCCCTAGCAGTGCACAATACCAATGTAACCAAAACTATGGCAATATCCAATTCCTAATAACAAGCAATATTCCATTAACAAGCCATAATAGTTATAGAATATGAAGATAAAACAATAGCAATAGCACTTAGACTTATATACCACTTTATAGTGCTTTACAGCCCTCTCTAAGCGGTTTACAGAGTCAGCCTATTTCCCCCAACAATTTGGGTCCCTCATTTTACCCACCTCGGAAGGATGGAAGACTGAGTCAACCTTGAGCCTGGTGAGATTTGAACTGCCAAACTGTAGGCAGCAGGCTGCAGAAGTAGCTTACAAGTACTGCACTCTAACCACTGTGCCACAGAGGCTCTAATGATGATACTTAGCTAGTCAACAAATTATAACACAGATATATGCTCAGATTTTACTGTTTGTTCCATTGATAATCAATTCACCCAGCCTGCAGTACTTCCTTCCTTGATTTTCACTTCCGATTTATGATGTGATGATCTAAAACACCTAGCAGAGCGGTATACAATGAGTCAAATTAAATACAGTTTATCTGCTTGAGCTAAATAGGAAGTTGTATATATATGTACACTGCACATCTTAATTAGGGAAAATAGGTTGCGGTTAGAGAAAATGGAAGAACAAGCAAAGGAACAGAACATATAGATTGATGGTACAGTGAAGCCTCTAGAGATGGTATGAAAGTTAGGCAATAATTAATTATTTTTAAGCAAAAAAAAACCTTAAGACTTAAGCAAAAACGTTGGTATGCTCACACATAGATGTATGCCAGGGATTGTAGGAATTTTGTTTTTTCAATCCCTTGTAATTTTTTGTCGTAAAAATATGGTATACATCTTGCCATGAACTTGTTCTCACCCTTTCACAGATCCAAAGCACTTATACACCATGTTTATGTTCAATTGAAGAAAAATGTCAGTGATACATTGACATAGCCATGTCATGATTCAACTGATATTGCCGACATTATGATTGAAAGGTTGTCCTGATGACAGTGCTGGAATTTCCTTCATTTCATAACCTTTAAATCAGAATATGGATGCTACAAGGAAGTGCAGGACAGGTTTTAAAAGGTGTTCCCTTTCTAAATGGAGGATTCAAGGTTAGAGCACGAATGTTAATGCATCAAGACAAACAGTAATTAAACCATATAAAAATAAACAAACAGGTTGGTTTAACTTCATTTGCAGGGATGCCAGATTGATAGATTCTACGGGTAGTCCTCAACTTATGTCCCTTTGTTCAATGGCCATTCAGAGGTATGGTGACACTGAATAAAATGGATGTGCGACCAATTCTCAAAATTCTGGCTATTTTAAGGCCCCCTGCAATTGCTTATCAAAATCAGACAAGATGGTAAAGCAGAAGAGACAACGAAAAGAAGTTATGGTGCTGAAATCATGAAATCTGCATGTAATCACAGTCTAAGATGAAACAAGAGGGGAATAAGCAGACCTTTAAATTAGGGCTATTGTGATGGTTTTAAGTCAGAATTATTCCTAAGAATAAACAATTAGTTTCCCTGTTTTGGAGAATATAAAATCCAGTTGATGCTTGAAGATGTCTTCAGATTCTTTACTAGGTAAAAACCGTGGCGGGAGATATGTTTGAAGGCAGATTCGCTCTACCTTCTGCCATCTCTGTTCTGACCATGGTAGGGTGGACCCCATGAGGGCTTGCAGGCATCTCCTTCTTCTGGAATGAAATGAGAAGTCTGTATCCCGTCTTCACTGTTTAATCAGCTTAATTACAAGGTAAAAGGTAAAGGTTCCCTTCGCACATACGTGCTAGTCGCTTCTGGCTTTGAGGGGGGCAGTACTCATCTCCGTTACAAAGCTGAAGAGCCAGTGCTGTCCAAAGACATCTCCGTGGTCATGTGGTCAGCATGACTAAATACCAAAGGTGCACGGAATGCTATTACCTTCCCACCAAAATGGTCCCTATTTTTCTACTTGCATTTTTACGTGCTTTTGAACTGCTAGGTTGGCAGAAGCTGGGACAAGTAACGGGAGCTCACTCCATTACGTGGTGCTGGGGATTCGAACCGCCGAACTGCCGACCTTTCTAATCACCAAGCTCAGCATCTTAGCCGCTGAGCCACCGTTACAAGGATCTCCCTTCTATTGCCAGGAAAAAGGAAAAAGATAAAGCCCAACCAAAGCTGAAACCAAGAGGTTGGGGAAATAAAAGTACTTTTCCTGAAGCATATTCTGATTTAGGGCACATATTTGTAAGGGGGACAAGAACTGAAAACCAAAGATGTGCTTCTATTGACATAAGGCACTACCCATCACTTACAGTATAAAACAGGTCAGGCTGTCGACTTCCCTTTTTCCTGGCCTGCTGCTTGGTTGTCTTGTAGATGTTATGTTGCTGCCAGTGAGTCAAGTAAGGCCTCTTCAAGGTTCCTTATTATATGGCACTCTAGAGAGCTGAGTTTTCCACTCCACTTTTTCCTTTTCTTCCATTGTGGTGCCCAGGATGGAAAATAGTTCCAGGGAGCGTTTGCCAGAACAGAAGTAATTCTAAGATTGTTTGATGAGTTTTGGAAGACAGTCTTAAAACAATACCTGAGCTCTTGTGATAACTCCTTTCAGTTTCATAATCCAGGAGAACACTGGGAGTGCTGTGGATGTCCAATTATTTTACCTCCCTCTCTGACCTACTGCCCAAAACCTATACTTTTAGATTTCTACTAATAGCTTACTATTTGGGCTTGCTGCATTAATGCAGGCAAATGGTCCATAGTTCCATGAAAAGGAAATTGTCCGGAAACACAGTGGGATGAAATTGAACTACCATATTATTAGAATATTTCACCTATTACAAAATACAACGCACCACTTAGACCAATAGAGTGAATTTATTGCAACCCTCCAATAGCCTTTCAGTTTATCTGATTTCTAAATCAGCTTTGCAACTCCCACCCCATCAACAGCCTTTCATATAGTTATTAATGCCATTTTAATTGGATGGTCACAGTATATAGGCAGTATTAATATGAATGCACTCATTCAAGAATTTAATTACTAGGCAACGGATGACAAGAATATGAAATCAAAACAGCTAGGGTTTTTTTCTCTTTTTTATTTATTGCTGCAACAAAAGCCGCGAATTCTTGTTGCATGCCTAAGGAATACCTAATATGAATACCTATCATATTAGCAACAGAGGGACAATAATTTCAGCACAATTAGGGTGGACCTTACGTATTATAAAACAAAGCCTTCCATGTCCAACAGCAGCTGTGTTCCACATTTCTTTGCAATGACACATGTCGTTTACTTTACACCCTGATGAGTTCATTAAGAGGGGTTTGAGTTAATTGCATTGTAGATGTACCGCAATGGCCCAGCTGGGAAACCATTTTGGCCAATAGTCCAGAAGGATAAAATACTTACAAGGCAATGCTTTCCAAAAGTTTTCTGAAGAAGGCACTGCTCACCTCCTCTACAGAAGAAGGCATTTGCTGTAAAATATGGTTGATAACTATCTAAAAGAAATATAAAAGTAATACTAAATTACTGAAGAAATACATCATTGCTGCTTGTGAAAGCCAAAAAGAAGGGACTTCACTCTGTTGCTTCTCAGTCATATATTAGCAATGGTAGGTAGCTGTGATGGACAAATGTTTTCTCTAGCAACCATACAGATTTACCAGGTCCACGTGATCCTGCATCAATGAATCCATTTCAAAAGATTGTTCTTCTCTGTTCCAGCGGATCAAGCAGACCCTTGCAAGTTCTTGGCATGTGATGCATTCTCACGGTGCCTAAAGGATGACTGGACAAAGGAGGCAATTTGTCTTTGTAAACCTGGTTATGCAAGAAAAGAAGGCCCGCTTTGCCGTAGCATATGCGAGATAGAGCCAAACATTTGTGCTAACGGTAGCAAATGCGAATTGGTTCCGGAAAGAGGTGCAGTGTGTAGGTATGTCCCTTTATTATAAGGTTGATCATGAATATTAATGGTACCATGGATATGGATAAGTGCAGCGGCAATTATTTTGCAATTCTCAAATGGCATTAACGTTTGCTTGGATTGTCAGTATGAGAAGAGAACATTCTGCATGCAGATTTTGTGCTCTGTTATTAAACAAAGTTTCCCATTCAAACTCTCCAGTTAAAAGTTTTATGGGAACTGGACTAGAGAGGCTTTATCTGAACCTCTGGTGATATACTGCTGGTCAAAACAAGTACACTGACTTGACTCAGATGCATTTATGTGAGATTATAATCAAATTCAATTTATTTTATTTTACATCATAGTGTTCAATTACCTCAGGCACGGAATATTTCTCAAAAGCCAGAATCTACCTAATAAAGTATGTAGAATAAAACAGTAGTAGCTTTAGCAACCATTTTTAATTATCTCCTATACCTATATCAGGGCTGTCAAACTCTCAGCCCATGGACTAGATGCGTCACGCTCTGGCCAGGCCCAGGCCCGGTTTAGCGAAGGGGAAAAAAAGACACGATACATCATGTGACGCCGCCATAATGACACAAGTTTGATGCTCCTGACTACATGATCCAATAACACAAAGTGTTTGATCCTTGGCTTAAAGTCTCTCATTTTCCCCCCATCAGTTGGTTAATTAAATTACAACAGAAATGCAGAATGAAGACAAAGTGGGGACAAGCAGATCCACCCTTCGTATGTTCCGATATCTCAGTGGCCTTTTATACCGCCTGTCTTACCACCAACCAGCAAGTTCTACATTTCTGAGGTTCTCTTTCACCCCTCAGTCACTACAGTACAGATAATCCTAGCCGAATTCATCCTGTTTTCCATAATGACAATCCCATCCATAATTTTTGCAATGGACCATATAGTATAAGTTTTATGAGTAATTTTACAAAATAAACAAAAGCACAGAATATGATAGTACAATACATACACATATTATCCTTCATCTTCAAAATATGCTTTTCTGAGTTTCACCATTGGCCTTTCAACTATCTTCTTACTGTGTTTCAGTGTTCTATGATTTCTTAACCCAGATAGTGTAATAATGTTTAACACACCTCACTGCAGCGGCTTCATACCAGGATCTTCTCAGTAACGAAATGGTCTGATAATGTTTCTGACACTGTCTCTCTTGAGGGTCTTGAGTTTAGTGGTTTGTAATTGTAAACATTTAATTCATAATCTTTGTTTTCTTCATAGGCCCCAGGATACAAAACAAAAAATAACAAGTTAGCATCTTGAAAGCCTGAATTCCAGATACTATGAAGGTTTGTGATTTTTTTTTAAAGTTGTCAAATGCATTTTTAGTAAAGTCCGGAGATCTTACATACTTTTATGTGGCTCCTTAGAACTTAGAATCAGTCCTTTATTTTATTTGATTTACTTGCCTTTGCTAATTTAAAATATGTCATTAAATTATGGGCAAGGAGTGGTGCAGTGGCCTAGAGGTGGAGCTGCTCTCGCCTCACAATCAGGAGGCTGTGAGTTCAATAGGTAGAGGCAGATATTTCTCTCTCCAGGCACAATGAGAATATATCTGCTGAACAAAACTCTGCATTGGCGACAGGAAAGGCATCCGGCCATTAAACACTCTGCTAGCTCCATTCAGTTGCCCAGACTCCACCCCGCAAGGGATGATGATGATTTAAATTATGGGCAAATTTTTTGTAGCAATATTCAGGCTTATTATGTAGTGTACCACATGCTATGATTTTTATTATTATGTGCCATCATGTTGGCATCAACTCTTGCTAATCACGTAGATACTGTATATGTTCTTCAGGATGATCTGTCCACAGCCTACAGGTACAACCCCATCGCTGCTGTTATTGAGCTTTCACTCCCTAACCCATCCCCTTCCTGTATTTTGCCATTCTTAAAGCTTGTCTTGGGGGTCCCGAGCCCATGGAAGAGATTGAATTTCTGCAGAGAAGGAGCAGAATTACACCCCTAATAGGTTTCACTCATAGAAGTACACCACTGAACTCCATTTTAAGTAACCTTACATTCCTTTCACGAATGTTGTTTCTACAGGTGCTTTAGGAACAAGACCTCTTGTAATATGGAAGCTCAGTGGAATCTTTAAGTAAGAAGGAGGACAACCACAACATCCATCTTTTTCTTCCCCAGAAAAAATGTGGAACATTTTAACTGAAGTTTATATCTTTTATTTTTTAAGGGAGAAGCTGTAATTAATTTCCTTAAAACTGTTTAACTTCATAGCATCCCTATTAACATAAATGTAATGCTAAATGTAACGTAATTAGTAGATATCTAATGTTTATGTGATTTTTTGTTGTTGCTTAGATGTAAGTCAAGTCTGTGTATTAAAGGTAGTCCTTGACTTTATGACCGTTTGCTTGGCAAGTGTTCAAAGTTCCAACGCACAAAGTTAAAAGCACTGACAATCTTGCACTTACAATAGTTGTAGCATCCTAATAGTTGTAGCCATTTGCAATCTTCCCAGCCATCTTCTAACCAGCAAAGCTAATGGGAATGCCAGCAGGAGGTCACAACTCACGGTCATGTGATGTCTCACTTAATGACCATGGGATTCACTTAACGACTGTAGCAAAATGGTTGTGAAATCAAGTGCAGTCACATGATGCCTCACTTAATGACAGTACTGCTAAACAATAAATTTGTAAGTGTAGGATTAACTGTACAGATAAACTATCTCAAAATTAAAAAGGCATCAGGGTGACATATATGGTCAATAATATAATAATACCGCAAATGTAGTAATTGGAAAATCAAACTGTAGAACCCAGAAACCTATCCAACACCTATAATGATGTTTCATAGTTCTCCTTTTCTAATCCTATCTTCCACTAATGGCATCAATTACATAAAAAAATAAGAATTGTCACTCAAAGTCTAATGACTTTAAATGCATCCTTCCTTAAAGTTTTTTTTTTTAAAAAGAATCTGACTGTAAATATCAAGCTGCCTTTAGGAAGAAATATGTTTGCTGTTATCCTTAAATATATACGTTTCATAGAATAGAGACACTGAAATACAAATGTAATTGTTAGTTCCGTATAAGACTTATCTTATGGGGGCATTTAGGCTTAAACTAAATAACTCCACAGTCAAAATTAGGCTTCAAAATACTTTATACACTTGATGCAAGTTGGCAGTAATGCATGTCGATTCACAAGACATAACCTGGCTGCAACGGAAAGCCATGCCTTAGATCAGGGCTGTCAAACCTGCGGCCCATGGGCCCGATGCGTCATGCGCTGGCCCATACCCGATTTAGCGAAGGGGGGGAAAGTCCCATTACGCCATCACGCTGTGAGTTTGACACCCCTGCCTTAGATGATCAACATCAATTTCACCAGTTTTGAAGAAGCTCGGGTCTAATGAAATGGATCTTCTCCCTTAACTACATAATTGGTATGACCAAAGCCACAATTACCTTCAAATAGAGGAACATAGAATGCGAGCTATAAGCAGCAGGATTTTACAATGCTTTAGCATTCCCTAATTCCTTATGCTCTGGCAGATGGTATCCTTTAATGCTCAAGTGTATTTCTGCTCTGGGTATAATCCATATACTCTGAACCATCTTCTTTTCTATGCACAATTAGGCATTACAGCTTGTCTAAGACATAAAATGGCAATTGCTTTCTAAAGTTTACCTTGCAGAGCCTACCTCCCTAAAGGGTAAACTTTACTGGATATTCTCTAGCGTCAAGAAAAATGTATTCTTGGGTCATTTGTATATACTGTTGCTACTTTGGGGGTTATATTAAGAAGATACCAATATCCCTTTGCTGCATTTTAATGGTTGCCCTGATTTAGTAGCCCTAGTTTGCTGCATGAGGTAAGAAGTTAGTCTTGGTGTGTTCCCACTGCAGATGTAAGATACAATCAAGAGTTACACTTGTACGGGACACATCTAGAGGTACAGTATCCGGCTTCATATATACCGTATATACTCGAGTATAAGTCGACCCGAATATAAGCCGAGGCACCTAATTTTACCACAAAAAACTGGGAAAACTTATTGACTCGAGTATAAGCCGAGGGTGGGAAATGCAGCAGCTACTGGTAAATTTCAAAAATAAAAATAGATACCAATAAAAACTTTCACTAGGACAGTTGAGAATAAGTTTGATGTTCACAATTTCCTCTTTGAAAGAGACCAGTAAATAGGGAACAAGAAGATGAAGAAAAAGAAGTGTGTTTTTTCACACTTTTCACACTGCAGTGAACAAAAATGGCATCGTAGGAACAGGCTTATTCTCAGTCCAAAGGTTTTTTTGTGATTTCTTCCCTGATTTAAGGGAAATTTGGGAAACGATATCACTATCATGAAAGGTTTAATTGATTCACTAACCCAAAAGAAGATGATGATGACAGTGGGAGGCAGGAGTCACTCTCTCCCTTGCAAGAAAAAAGCAAGAGCCGTTCTTATGATCTCTCTCTCTCTCTCTCCCCGTAATACAGTCAAGCCCTTTCCAGCACGCGCGATCTGCCGCCGCAGCTTTGTACCTTGCAAATGCAAAATCCCGGGGTTTTTGCATTTGCAAGGTGCAAAGCGGCGGGGGCGGATCGCGCATGCTGGAAAGGGCTTGACTGTATTACGGGGAGAGAGATCATAAGAACGGCTCTTGCTTTTTTCGTGCAAGGGAGAGTGACCCCTGCCTCCCACTGTCATCAACATCTTCTTCTTTTGGGTTAGTGAATCAATTAATTTGGGAAATGATCTCACTATCATGAAAGTCAGTGTTCTCTGCCCGTGGGGCATTTGGAAGAAAATGCCCCGCGGCATATCCACACGTGTGTAAGGGGAATCAGAAATCCCCGCGTTCAACGCCTAGCACGCAGCTGTGAGCAAATACTGGGAAAACCTGATTGATCAGAAGGAAGGAGGCAAAAGAGGGAGGGGTGGTGGTGGACGGAGGTCCCACTGGTATTTGTGAAACACTTGGTCGGCAGCGCTTAAAGTCAACGTCCTGGCTCCCACCCACCCACCCACCCACCCACCCAAAGCCACGAAGTCCCCCCAATTGCGCAGCCCAGAATCGCCCTCCCCTCGGGGCATCAACGACGCCCGGTGTTTCCCGAGACAAGAAGCTCCGCCGTGCAATGAAAGCGCCCTGGCTCTA